TTTTAGCTAGTGCATAGTCCCTGTAGTCACTGCTAAAGTGGGGTTAAGTATGTATATTTGTGAATGTACAGAGTTAAGTACTCTTTACAGCTCTACTGTACTCTATGCCATGATGGTAAATACCTGTCAAATTTTTTATTTTATTTCAATCTAGGCTTTCTCAGCGAAAGCTTCATAGTAGAATGCTCCTATCCAACTGTGGGAGGCCTATGCTAGGTCTAGGAACAGACAGCTGAACTTTACAGTCACATACAAGTTCATATGGTTTTATTCCAGAGCCTATGGGAGGTTTAAAGGGGAGACTGTGGGCCAGAATGTGGACTGGCAGAAAACAATGGGGTTTATTAACATATGGCATGTAGTGACCTGTGGCTATAAGATGTGAAGTTTCTTTAAATATTTTAAATAAAGAGATATTAATCAGCTTTCAGAAATGATTGTTTTAAGATAGTTTCCAATAAAATGTGAAAAATATAGCTGGTTCCATTTTCCTAGACTATCACTTTAAAAAGTAGTATTTTTTATAGAAATATCTAAAAATACTGGAGTTTGGTTTTAAAGAGTGCTGGATAATTATTGCCTTTGTTTCAAGATCATTAATGGCATTTTAGTGATCATTTTTATTATATTGGTAAACTTTAATAATTTGTCTCTGATAAGGCTTCTAGATGTTAGTTGATGATATGCTTTCCTTTTCTCCTCCCATGGTTTATTTCTTTATTATTTTTAATATGTATCCATGAAATACTATAGCATATAAAAAAGTACAATGAATAATGAACATCCGTGAAACCAATTCCAAGTTTAAGAAGCAAAACATTACAGATATAATTGTATACACTGTCTATTCTTCGTCATCCATTCCTCTTTCTTCCTCCTCAGCTATAATCACTAATCTAAATTATTTCTACACATTTTTACATTTTTTTATGACCTTTTATTTTTTTTACATGAATGATATCATCTATTCATGTTTTTATAGTTTGAGTTTTTTAAATCGACATTAGTTTTTAAGATTAGTAAACTTCAATTACATTTTAATTTCTGAACAGTGGCAACACTACAATTTCGACTTTCTGCTTGATGTGAAATGGTGTTTTCCAGTTTAATTTCGCATTTCTCTGATAACTGGTTAGCTTTGGTATTTTTTTCATATATTTATTAGTCTTTTGGATTATTTCTGTGAATTGCCTATTTAAAGACTTTATTTACCTTTAATTTGGTTATTTGTCTTTGTTTTTCAGGAGTTGGGATTTTTGTTATCTTAAAATTATTTTCCTGATATTAAATTCTTTTTGGTTATTTGAATTACACATATTAGCTTCTTCCAATTTGTGCTTTTCTTTTCATTTTGTTTATGGCCTCTATTATTGCACTGAAATTTTAAGTTTTAATACAATGGAATATGTCAGTTTTTTCTTTTATGGTTTGTACATTTGGATCTTGTTTAAGAAATCTTTCCATAATCCAAGGTCAGAAAGATACTTTATATTTTCTTTTTAAAGTTGTAAAGTTTTACTTGTCACATTTCTGTCTTTATACCACCTATAATTTATTTTTGTTTATGTGTAAAATAAAATAATTTTATTATTTTTGATTTGGTAACTAATATGCAAGTATTTTTGATATAGTACATCTGTTTCCCTTGATTTATAATACCACTCTATCATGTACTGTTTCTGTTGATACATGTGTCTAGATGTGCTTTATTTTTTTGGTCTATCCCTTTATTCTTTAGTCTATCCCTGGGCCAAAGTCACTATTTTAATTACTGTATCTTTTTAATGAGTTTTGATATCTGGTAGGGTGAATCTCCCACTTTTTTCTTCAGAATTACCTTGGCTATATTTGTCCCATTGCTCTTCCATACTAAGTTTTAGAATTAGCTTAAGTTCAACAAAAAGCCCTTTTGACTTTTATTTGGAATATAAATATACCGATATATTTGAGAAACATGACTTCTATTTTGATATTAAATCTTTTAGTCCATGAGCATGGCTTATTTCTCCAGTTATTCAGATCTTCCCTTATGTCTTTGATTATTTTAAAAAATTTTCATAAAATCTTATAGATCTTTTGTGAAATTTATTTCTACATATTTTATAATTTTCCTTGAGACTATATAATGGTATTTTAAAAATTATATTGTATGTTGCTGCTATGTATAAATGCAATGAATTTTGGTTATTGTTGTGCTATTTTCAGTAACTTACCTGACTTGCTGTAATACAACTAATGACTTTTCTGTAAGTTCTCTTGAATTTACTTTGTAGATAACCATATCCTTGGGAAATAATGCTAACTTTGTTTTACTTTTCTAATTCTTATTCTTTAAAACATTTCTTATTTTTCTAACTGGAACTTGTAGAACAGTTTTGTGAAGAAATAGAAATAGCAGGCATCCTTATATTGTTTCTGATATTTGCTGTAGATTTTAATCTTATATCATTAAAGAAATTGAATTTTACTGAATGCTTTCTACCATCTTTTGAGATGAATGTTTTCTTCTAGAATTAGCAAATATCATGATTTACATTGACTTTTTAATATAATACCATCTTAGCATAGAGAGAATGAGCCCCCAATTTTGATATGATGATATTTTTACACATTGCTAGATTCACTTAAAATTTTTAAGAGTATTTTTGCATATTTTCACTGTTTTCATAAGTGAGATGGGTCTGTGGTTTTCCTTTTTCATGCTTTACCTGTCCTTATTTTTTAAGTAAAAATTTTTGTTCAGTTATACATACAAAAATGTGTACAAATCTTACGGTACCTCAGTAAAGTTTTACAAAATGAACACACTTGGGTAACCAGCAAGAAACAGAACATTCTAGCAACTGAAAGCTTCCTCATGAGCCCTTCTAGTTAACACCTTTTCCCCAAAGGTGACCACTAGCCTAACTTTAACACCTTAGTTTTAGTTTTACGTATATTTTTAAATTTTATATAAATTGAACCATAATTATACACTCTTTTGATATGGTTTCTTTTTATCAACATTATGTATATGATACCTATCCATGCTGTAATTTATTCATTTTCATTGCTATAGATTATACAATTTACTTATTCATTCTTTTGTTGAACACTTGGGTAGTTTTTTTACTTTGGGTTATTATGAATAGTACATGTACATTCTTGTACATGCCTAATGGTGAACTATGCATGTACATTTCTTTTGCATAGATATGTAGATGTGTTTATCAGATGTGTGTATATTTTCAGCTTTAGTAGATGCTTCCATTTTCCCAAAGTAGTTGTTCTTACCTTATTTTGATAGCCAGATTGTACTAAACTGACAAAATAAATTTTAGAGTCTTCTCTGGTTTATATAAGATTGAGATTATCTATTCTTTAAATAGTTGGTAGAATTCATCCATAAAATAATGTGAGTATATATTTTTGATTGTTGTTATTTTGTTGTTTTTTTTTTCTTTTTGGTCTGTGGGTAGTA